GTTTAAGGAAAACCAAGACAATATGTTTACAATAATGCTTAAAAACTTCCAAAAAATGAACCAACAAGAACACAAGCAGCACAAAAACTGAAAAACCAACGCGACGCAATGGTGTCAGCTTTTACTACAATGCTTGACAACAACAGACCACTAGAACCACCGCCAAAGAAACCACCAGACAAGGAGGACAGCGACGAAGAAGAAAAAAGATTCAAACTGACAAAAATGATAGAAATAATGCTACACAACGGCGCTACAGTAGCAGATGTATTATTAAACTTATCACATAGCGCAATTGCAACAACTATAAATATCGCAGATTTAGTTAATCAGATAACGGCGGGAAATGCACAAGGTAGCAGTAGCAATTCATCAAATGAAGCTATTAGTGTTCATAGTTCTCCACCTATTACTGTTCATAGTTCTTCATCTGAAAGTCCAACAGAAGTACCAGCACCAACTGAAGACGAAGAAGAAGAACCACAAAAAGATAATTTTGAAAAATCGAAATCGAATTAATATTGTATATAATGGGTGCTTTTCAAAGTAAAGATAATGAAAATCATAGTTTGGAAGACATTAAGATTTTAAGTATAGATGAAAAAACACGAGCAGACACTTTAATTATTAAATCTTTTCAAGAATGTGTGGCACGAATTGAGAAATCAGAAAAAGAAAAATCTGACAAATTAATATATAAATTACCTGTTCAATTATGTAATTATTCATTATTTTGAATTAACAGTATTAAAACAAATTAATATTATTAATTGCTAATACAGCTTCTTTCACTTTTTGGCGTTGATGTTGAAACAGTGCTATTTGTTTCATCTTTTAAATCTTCTTCATCAACAAAATTATTTTGAAATCTTAATAATTCCTCGTCCGTTGCCCTCCTTTTCAACGCCTTATAAAGTTTATGTATCCAAGAATTAGTATGAAAATTGTAATTACCCTTGCGATAAGACCCACCGCATATACATTGTTTTATAACCATATTAGTATATTATATTGAATTAGAATATCTTTATTCATCATTTGTAATTTGAAATGCCTGTTCAAAATTGATATGAAACATGTGGTTAGTGTCTTTTGAATTCATATTCACGTAGAAAAAAGAATATGGAGCAAAGTTCACTGCTTGATGATACATATCTAATAATTGCTGTTTATCAACAATGGCACTATTTTCTTCAATAAAACTCATTAATTCACTGGCATTTTCAACCTAAAAATATATAATGAACTGGCATTTAAACGAATGATAGGCGCCAAACCATTATATTTTTGTGTTGAACAAATTACACTTTCTGCGTCGTGCCTGCCTCTTGTAAAAAGCCCGTGTAATAATTTACTGTATCTAACAAATGTAGGATCATCGGCATGATCGTGTATAACGATTAATATTGAATGCAGTTTCTCTATCTGTTTAGATTTCATATAATTAGCTATTTTCTTCTGTCTTTCAATTACATTTTCTAAATCTGCTGGATTGTAATTGTCAAAATAAGTTTGTTCTTTTTCATTACCCACGTGCAATTCATCCCTGATATATTTTTTAACTTCTGTAAAGGTTGGGTCATTATGAACGCTGGGGGAAAACACAAATATTCTTGCAAATGAACTTCTACAAACATTTAAGATAAGGTTCTGAACCAAGACTGTTTTGCCTCCCGTCGAACTCGCAACTATAATGCTTCTAAATTGTAATTTTGGCACGTGCTCATATTTAGATTTTTTGAATTCATATTCAGTTATGTTTATTGGTTTTATTGTTGGAACATCTGACATATAGTTAGTATTAACCATATTTAGAAAATAATTTAATATTGTTGATTGCATGAAAGCATTGCTATGATATGAATGGGGTCTATCGTGGTAGAACAGGCTCTTTCATCAACTTCAACCATAAGCATTGAGACTAATTTGTTTGAATTAGTTTGAACCTCGCTTGCGTTGTCCAGTGCAAAGAAAACTCCATTGCTGTGCCCTCCGAATATTCTATCATGCATGAAAATACTAAGATCAAATGATTATTTAAATAATTATTTCATTGTATTATTTATATGACTATTATCCATTGCAGTTGTGGTAAAACTTATGATGACAAATATTTAATTAAACATGTAAATTCAACACATCATCAGAAATTTGTGGAATATAGATGGAATAAAGACGATACAATGAAGAAGCATACAAGAAAAAAAGACAGAAATGAAAAAATAATTTATCTTATTATTGCAGATGAAGTAGAGAATATAGAACAAGTTGTTATAACTGATAATAAAACAAACAAATGCTGTTATTATTCATTAGAATTAATTAAGTTTGTGATACAATATATCAAAAATAAAAATGCAAATATTATTGTAAATGCCAAAAAAGAAAAAGAGTAAAAGCCAAGAAAGACCCATGCCAGATATTGAAGCACGGAAAGAAACAACGGACAGTTTTAAATCAAAGGGTGAAAGTAAAGCTATAAAATGTGATAAATGTAACCATGTTATGAATTTTAAGAATGAATTGACGGTAGATAAAAAAATGGTGTTAAGGTTAGTTGTGTTCCATGTATGTTTTCTTGAAAAAATAAGATAACTATTTGAATATTAAGAAAACAACTGGTGGTGATATAGTGGTAGAAACTAACGAACATTTGATTAATGTTAGTTTTAATAGGGACATAAGTTAGTATCTAAAGAGTAGAATTAACCTAATATAAACATTTAGTTTGGCAAGTTTTATTTTATAATAAAGTATAGGAATATGGATGAAGGATTAGATAAGATTGTTAAACAACTGAAAAAGGTTTTAGAACAGAATAAGAATATTTTTGAAATCTTGCAAGAAATGGAAAAGAAGAAACCGTTGACAAACAATTATCAAAGTAAAGAAGTAGATCGAACCAGTAGCGAATATAAAAACAAGCGTCAGGTTTATGTGAGCAAATTGAATACTAAACAAATCAAAGAATCTAAGCCCAGCAGTCTGGAATATTTCCGAGTTGATTATGATGAAGAGACAGGTGTTTATTCTTGATTTAAACCATTTTTCTCTGAAAATGTTTAAAGACATATTAGCATAGCTAATATTATGAGTTCTACAGATGACGAAGAAGAAACAGGATACACAATGGTCTATCATTGCAGTAAATGCGATGAAGCAAAGCCAAGAAAGGATTTTCACAAGATGTATGATAGAATTAAAATGGAAGAGATATTTTACAAAACATGTAAGGAATGCAGAGACAAAGTAAAAGCAACAAAAGAGTTAAGGAAGGAACAGAAGAAACGAATACAACCCATGGAAATACATAGGTTAAAGCCTTTAATACCATAGTTTTACGATACTTATAACATGTCAGAACTTATATGTTATAATTATAGTGGTAAGAATCTTTCTATAAATATATAATTTCTCTGAGAATGTATTTAAAGAAATATTACCTATGTATATTAGAACAATGAGCGATACAGAAAGTGTGTATAGTGAATATAGTGATACAGACAGTGAAGATAGTAAATATAGTGATACGGCCCGTGAAGGATGCTAAAAATATATTCAGAGAAACGTTTATGAGTTATAAATGTAGAGACTGTGAGATGCTAAAATTACCAATTAAACAACGTTTTTTAAATGGTGTTAGTAAGAAAATTTGTCAATATATGATACGCAATAATTGCAATAAAACTATAAACAAAATTGATGATATGAATAACGAAGATATTGATAATAGAAATGCCGAAACTCTTGATGATGATTTAGAAATATTTGTGTTTATTGAAATGAATAAGTTCTTGACCAAAGAAGAGTTTGATAATTTATTATATGAGGGCGACGAGGAAGGAAATGCTAATGATTTTATTTTAAGTATTACAATCTGGAAAAATATTATATGGTATGTCTTTTAATAGTAGGCGTTCAAAAAAAGAAGCATTGAATGATAATGACTTTAATTTTTTAAATTGTGAGTATAAAGCTCACGAACTTAGATATACGGTAATAAGTACAATTAGAACAATGGGCTGGTTTAAAAAGGAAATAGGAAATAACATATATAATGAAAAACAGTTGATAAAATAGTGAAACGAATTAAAAAATGATTTTTTTGAGAGACTAGCTTCAGACTAATAGTATAATTATACATATATTTTTTACAAGTTACAATTATACTGTAATTTTCCCGTATAAGCCACGGTAGTGCCTAGTATGGCCTTTCTCCGGATCCGCATTTTGCCATCCATATTTTACTGGGATTGTTGACATGATTTGAGTTAGCCCTTAGAATATTCCTTTTTCCATTGGTTAACCACTTTTTGGGGCGAACATAGGGTTGTTTTTTTAGACTGTTCGTATTTGTTGGAAATGGGAAAGGGTGTCAAGTTGGATCAAGGGAGAAATTTTTGAGATCTTGGGGTTGCGATCTTGGGAATCAAAAAATGTTGGTATGTAGCTTGGATTTGTTTGGTGGGATTTGTTGAGGTGGTATGTAGTTCTGATTGTTGTTATTGAATGAGCATAGGGGTGATGTTGAGATGGGGTAAGAAATGAAGATGGGTATGTGAATATGTGTTTTTTGATGTTGGATTGGTTGGGTGATTGGATTTCAATGTTGAAAATGGGTTGTTTTAGTGGGTGTATTTGAATTGTGCCCAAAAGGCTCTGTCTAACTCCTATAGCCTACATGAAGTTTCATGGTTGCTGCAACTACGTGGGCCTATTCAAGCTTAGAAACTAGGGGGTAGACGGCGGAAGTACGCCGAAGACTATTCTGTTCAGCACGTCATCTGCAGTGTCTATCAAAGAGTCTCCGTGACCCTGACCCAACACAAGGCATATGCATACTGGACGATATCAATGAAATGGGTGGCCTTGTGCACAGCATGATACGTGATCAGGCAATCCACAACACCAGAGAGGGGACTTTGGGGGACCTTCCCAGTGGGACTTCAGAACTAGCCCCTGACTTGGCCGTGTCCCAAAGTCCTGACCTCTGACCTGAGGCACATGGAGTTTGGCTGGACCCTTCAAGTTCAAAGCTGCAAGCGAGAACACGCGGATCTACTTCTACGCCGGTGGCACCTCGGATTGCAATGTGCTGCCCATGCCTTAGCAGCTTCTTGCGTGCAAGTGAATTGAGAGCATCTGAACATCCCAATTCTTACTTCCGCCGAGGTACTGCATGCCCCATGATTGACAACGTTGGAGTCAGGGCGACAGAGGCGGCTTCAGAAACAACCCAGGCAGGCTTGCTTGAAGTCATTGAGTGTTTTGGGCGGGTGTCTTCAGTCTGTGAAATTGATGTTAATGCAGCGGAGGCCGTCCAGACCACACAGGCTCAGGCTGAAACCACTTCGGAAGCGGCTACGACAATGGCCACAACCACTACTGCCAAGCCTACGACACAAGCCACAACAGCGACAACAGCAGCGCCCACCACGACCACCACCACTGCTTCGTCTACAACAGCTGCAGCCCCGGCTCCTGCCCAGCCCGCTCCAGCCCCAACTCCTTCGCCAGCGTCGCCCGCTTCAACTCCGGCGCCTCCGACCTGGAGCGAGGACGACGATGCGTTGCTGGCGGGGGCCACGGCTGCGGCGTCTGCGCGGGCGCAGGGGCTGCAAGTGGCCGAACAGGCTTTGGCCGCAGGGCACGCGGCGCATGCCTCGGCCAAGGCGGAAGGCGAGTCGGTGGAGAAGCAGACCATGGTGGCGGCTAAGGCGGCTGCCCAGGCTGTAGTCGCTGTTGGGGGCACGCCATCCACGCAGTGCGCGGAAGCTGGGCGTGCTGCCTTCTACGTGACCAAAACTGCAGGCATGGCGCAGGGGCAGACGGCCGCTGCGGCAGGGGACGCGGCAGTGGAAGCGGTGAAGGGTCAAGGCCTGGGCTCGAGTCAGCTGGTGGAATGCGTGGCAGTTGCAGTCAAGACGGCGTGCAAGGAAGCAGGCCTAAGTGCAGACCTGCAGTCCGAATGTGCTGGAGCAGCCGCCATTTCAGCGGCACAGAAAGCGGGAATGTCAGAAGAGGATCAAGCAGACGCGGCCGGTAGGGCAGTTGAAGCTGTGTTGTCCATGACCAATGCGACGACAATGGATGCCTGGCAACAAGCAGCAGCGCCTGCACCGGCAACCACCACCAACCCTATCAGCCCTCAAATCCAGGACACCGGCTTCCCCCTGGAGTGCTGCTTGGGATCCTTCATCCTTAATCTTAGGATATCTTGGAGTTAGAAGCCAAACTTTCGCGCTCAAGCCCGCCACTCTTCCGAGCCATCCGGAACGCTTGGTGTTTTCGCTGTTCCCATGAGTTTTGTTTTTGCCTTTGGTTGGATGTTTGACGTGGCTCGAGGAGCTGTTGAAGGAGGTGCAGGAGGCGAAGAAGGCCGCGCAAGAGGCCGCGCTGGCGGCCAGCAAGGCCCAACTGGAGGCCTTGAAGGCCCAGCACCGGAGTTGGGGCAGTTTTTTTGGGAAGGCCCCCATGTGTTTCAGAACAAAAGGGGCACCCGTTTCGCCTTCTCGGCAAAAGGGACGTTTGCTTGGGCTGGCACAGACTCCTTTCGGGTTCTGCTCGGGCTGACTGCTCACGTCAGGCCCAGGCCACGGCGAAGACGACCACGGAGAAGGTCACCACCACGGTGCCTGCGGGCGCGGACTTCGAGACCGAGGTGTACGTCACGGAGAAGCCACAAACCACGGTGGGGGCCTGGGGGCCATCGCAAGCCACATCATAAGTAGCCATCATATAGAATCTGTCTCTGTTTGAAGCAATGAGGCAATGAACCCCCAGGATTGCGCCCACACCAAAATTCCCGGGATTGCACCCACAATCCACCGTCACATATGCGATGAATGACGATCCTCATATGCCGTTCCAGTCGCTTACTATTCGCGAAACACAACAACTCGACAAGTGCGAAAAGCTTCGCGAACACTCAAAAGAACGCCTCGAACATCTAAAATGTAAAACAACTCGACACTCTAGCATGCCGAACAGCACGCAAGCTCATTGCAAGAAAGGGCAGCAACCCTTTACTTCCTGAGGCATTTGAAGCACGTACTCTGGGAAAAGGACATTTTCAGGAACAAAACGAACGTTGCCGGGCTTGGTTCTGGTCGAAGCACGGAGTAGGAAAGGAGCGCTTACTCTCATAGCCAAGACGGGCCCTACTGCCAAAAGCGTATCAGCCTGAAGTGTCCCTCGACCCGGAAATACTTTTGCCTTTTCGCGAACATGTACACAGTACTTCAGATGTGCTTTCAAAATTTAGCAAGGACAAACAAGGACACTTCACAATTCAAAACACTCCGACACTAGAAAGCAAGGCGAACTCAAAAATACGAAAAGCACGCAAAGAACTGTAAAGCAAGGAAAGGGAACAGTTTCGCGACAACGTGCGGAAAGAGTGCAAGTTGCGCGCGAACACCATAAATGTCCTGAAAACTTAACTCAAATGTTTCAAGCACAAACAATAAACATATTATGAAAAAAAACAAGGTCCGCAAAAGTCCAACTATTTGCGAAACTCGAAAACTCAACCACTGCCAGTTTCAGTTTCGAGTTCATGTGTTTTCGTTTTCGTTGCTTGAGAAAATGAGCGGAAACAGCGTCGTACAAGCGGTTGCCAAGCGGAAGGGAGGGAGTGACTCACCTAGCCAGCGGGCTGGCCGGGAGGCGCCTTGTTGGTTCCGAGACTCAGTTGTTCAAAGCCGACCTTTTGACCTTTTGGTTTTCCCTTTTTGGTCTATTTTTAGTAGAGGTCCCAACAGGTTAACCTTTTATTTGCAGGTCCTTTGGGCAAGTGAGGAGAGGCTCTGGGCAGTTGGGAATGTGGTTGGATAGTCGGTGGGAAGACAAAATAGGGGACCATGAAAGATGAAGTGCTGAACCCGGGTTTGGCTGTTCTTTTATTTCAGGTGGAGCCCGCGCATCCCTTCGGCACCACCACACAGATGCGCACCCGTCCGGCTTGTCCGGACAGCACCAGGGCCCCCAGGGGCACCTGGGTGGTCTACAACCTCAGCCCCTCGCTACAGGGGCCATCTGATCGCGCATGGAGTTTGATCCCCAGTGGTTCTGCACGGATTTTGCTCTTTGGGCGTACAAGTTCTTGGAGCTTGGGAACAACATTCAGGGAATATTGCAGGTCAAGCTGCCTACCCCCAAAGGGGTCACAGCAACATTGCAGTCGCCGTAGGCTGTGGCAACATTGCTTGCGTTGCTGGGAGTCAGATTGCACAAAGGTGCCAACATGGTTCGGAGGCAGCAGTGAGATTGGGAAACACATGGCAAAGCAAAAGTCTCATGAGACACCGTATTTGTTTGGCTGCAAGCAGAATTTGAAGGGCAGTGCAGGAGAGAATTTCAGAGGTTGCAGGGGATCATCATTTGATCCTTTTATGGGGGGTCATCAAAGTCAGAGACTGCCCTTCAACCCATCTTAGAAAACTTGGATGGTAAAATCACGGGGCCACGGGCCTGCTGCGCTTACGGGTTCTCCGAATGGTTATTAGGGAATGGGATTCCCTTGGCTGAATGGATTCCCACAAACCCCACAGCAAGCAGAGTTGGAACCCCCTTTTTCCTTTTTGGGTGTCTCCCGGCGCAGCTTGGTTTTGGGCCAAAAATGCTAGCGGCCAGATCAGTAAATGTCATCAGTCAAAGGAGATCTTTTTGTGGGGTTTGGACCGAGGCGCAACCCCGATTCTGCACTCCTGCCTGGTGAAGCCCTTGAAAGGGCGGGTGCCGGACGCGTGCTGCCAAGCCCCTGGTGCCATCAATGCGGTGGGCGCCACCTTCGAGGTGGCGCAGTCGAAACCCGTGGGAGGTTTTGCCAAGTGACGTACGGCCGATGTAAATTGAAAGCCACAAGGGTCCTTACTTCGATAGAGGGGCCGTTTTGTTTTGCGAGTTCGGGCTAGGTTGGTGCCTCCGGTGCTGGTCTTGGTGTGCTCAAGGTGGTTGCTGGCGATGGTTGTTTGGCGTTGCAATCAGGAGCTCTACTACACCAATGATTACGGCTCCTGCGTGACCTTGACCTATGCAGGGCCACTGGCAGGTGAAAAGGTGAAGCTTCAGTGCAATTCTGACAACACCATTACCTACGGCGAAGAGCGGTGTGGAGAGGACCTTGGGATGAGTCAAGCAGAAGTTCCCCCCCCGTCCCCCCCTCCACCTCCCCCGTTTATTGTGCGAACTTGTTGAGGGTGAGTTAAGAGGCAGCGCAACGCCACAGCAGGTTTGCTGTTGATTTGCGACAGGACTGCAGCTGCAGCTTCCAGGATGTTTATGCACCAGGCCCGAAGAGAGTTGTTCCGATGGCTTGTGGCTGTCCTTGTCACGCTCCGAAGAGACTGGAATCACAAAGTGGTGAACAAGCTAAAATGTCCTTGCTGTCTTGCGCATAGGGTTTTGAATGTGCACAGTGTTGAGCAACCGGGAGCAATCGACAAGCTTCTGTATGCTTGCAAGCTTTTTGTTTTTGACATTGAGACCAGCTTCTCTTGGAGAAAGAAGTTTTCAGGGAGTGAGCAATCACTGCTACCAGTCCAAGCGACCCATGTCTCTCAAGGCCGGTAGCGCCCTTCTGGTGGGAGACTTGGCCGGTGATACGTGCAGGTTGCTATCGGTCCAACGATGCCCTGCCTGGCACAGCCTGGTTCTTCTTGACAGCTGGCTGCGACTGCGTGGAGCAGAAGGCGCGTTGCCTTGGTCGGTTCATGGCGCCTAAAACCGCAAAGTGGTTGCATGATGAGGAGAACCCTCAAAATTACGTTCGGCGCGACTTAAACCTGCACTTAGAGCACATCTTCTTGCAGATGTCAGTTGGGCCGATATTTTTTGAGGATGCTTGTTTTCCGTTCTCTCTTGGTGCAAAGCAGAGGTCTGGTCATTTATCGGTTGCTAGACGTGAAGTCGGCAACCCTGAAGACACTGAGCTCTGTTCCCTTTAACCGTGCTGAGGTCATGAGCTGGCTAGTCGGTGCGAGTACCAAGGCTGTTGGACAACCGGGACCCAGACATTTCCCAGCTGAGCATCAAACACACATTTTTTGCAGTTGGGCCTATATCCGCATGCCTGTTTGAGTTTGTAACATTTTTGTTGTCCGTTGTTCAAGTGGGGACGGCACGTCTCGCGCTTTATCCAGTTTTTGCGCGCCTTTGTTGAGGGTACACTTGTTCGGGTGGTTTCCACCGGACCGCATTTGTTTTAAGTTTCCTCATTCAGAGACACGCCCACTGGGGATTTTGAGCGCCGGAAGGCAGTGCAGCCCCACCAGCAACTTGGAGCTTGACAGCGGATGCGGGACCGGGGAGCATGAGTCCCCCTCAGCCAAGCCTTTCCCATGGGATGCCATTGCAGCCTTCGCCATCCAAAACGATCGGGCCTTTGGGAGCACCAGTTTGCCTTGGAGGGAAACGTGGTGAAGCAGGTCTAAGTTGTGGGAAGGCTTGGATCGGAAGGCGGTGTGGGGTTGACTACCCTTTCCACGCCTTCACGTCTGTGACGTGCTCGAATACACAGGCGCTGAAGAGTGTGTCTATCTATACACATCTACAATTTCTCGCGCCTGAGAGGCGTTTTTCTGCGCCTTTTGCACAAAAGATGATCTGGACTACATGGAAGTAGAAGCTATTGCTTCCAGATCTGGACTGGTAGGCTTTTCCTTTCAAAGTTCTTACAAAACAAGGTCGCTTGCAGAGGAGTGATAGACTTTTTGAGTCCATTTCAAATTGTTGTTTCCGTCGGGCTGGCCTGGCAGACTCTGAATTGAAAAGTTTGTGCTTTCCAGATCTGGGCTGGTAGACTTTTCCTTTTGAAATTTTCGAGAAAACAAACTGTCAGTCTCAAAGCTTTTGCTTCCGGAGGAGTGGTAGACTTTTCATTTCAAAGTTCCTTTTAAACAGCAGTCAATTTCAACTCTGTTGCCTTCATTGGACTGGCAGGCTTTTCCTGTCCTTTCAACGCCCTTCTAAAGAGCATTACTTTTAAGCTTCTTTTCCAAATCCGAATTTGTAGATGTTTCCTGTTAAAGCCGCTTTAAGAGGCTGTCAATGTCAAAGTCTGCTTCAAGATTTGGGCTGGTAAGCTTTTCCTTTTAAAGTTCCTTTGAACAAAGAGTCCATTTCAAAGCTGTTGCTTCCAGAGGGGTCGTCGACTTTTCCTTGTTCACGCAATCAAAGCCATTGCCTTCATGGACTGGGAGGCTGTTTCTTTCAAAGTTCCTTCTAAAGGGCATTCAGTTGAATGCGTTTGTTTCCAGATCTGGTTGGTAGATTTTTCCTTTCCCAGACCCTTGGATCAGTTGTCAAAGTCAAAACTTTTGATTCCAGATCTGGACTGGCAGTTTCCTTTCAACGTGCCCTTGAAAAAACTGTCAATTTCAAGCTGTGGCTTCCAGAGGGGTGATAGGGGTTTCCTTTCAATGGTCTTCGAAACAAAAGCTGTTGCTTCGTGAGACGGGTATGTTTGTCCTTTCAAAGTTCTCTCAGGAAGCCTTCAGACTGCCAAGCTTACAAGTCTGCCACAAGTCCAGGCAAACCAAGGGACCTCAAGCCACGTTTTGGGCTTTGGGCCCTATTTTGTGGCATCCAACAAGCTGAGCACTAGGGAAGCCACGGTGTTTTTTCAGCTCCTGGAAGCACAACATGCTGAGATGTCTCTCATTTCTGCAGCTTTCAGCAGAAAGTGTTGGAGTGGGCGTTTCCCTCCACACTCCAATTTTGGGTTTTGGGTTTTGCCCGCTGGTCCCCCTTTTAAAGCTCGCGGGAGAATCTGAGGTTTAACCTGCCGCCCCTGGATCAGAACGTTGGGGCGGCCGATATCCTCAACGTGGGGCCGGAAGAGGCCCAATGCTTGGCGGCTTTTTCCGTGTTTGGGCTTGGGTTGAAGCCCGAGATATTCCAACAAGGACATTTAGTTTGCCAATGTTTTTCTGCTGTAAATTA